GATATTTATCGTCTTAGATACTCGAAGTGTTATGTTTTTTCAAATCATGCTTTAAGAATTCTCATACTTTAAGTAGTGAAAAATCAAGCATTTTTGTCACCACTTTTCGGAAAACAGAGGCCATATATGTAGGCATTTATTGGCGAATTATTGCGATTTTCTCTGATAGTTGGATTCTTGTTGCGATTATGGGAGAAAAGCCATTTCGGAGAAAGTAAATGTGTAATCTAGATTCACTACTCTGCTCTGTGTACTATATGATAATTGTTTGACTGATGATTAATGAGAGTAGAGAAGAGAGAAAAGAAAACACTGTGGTTATTGATATGATGACCTATTTCTTTTAATTTCTAATAACAACAACAAATAATAATAACAGATGTAATAAAACTCCTATTTGCCTATTCGCTTCTCTTTTTATTCATCTGGAATATAAACGATCATATATATATACTCACACACGTTGATTTCTACGTATGTTAGCTCATAATGCAGAATATAAACGATTGAGTTAACATTAATAAAACTGAATAGATTCATTCTTCACTGTGATTGGAGATTTATTAATGAACAATATTTCATGAACGTAATATTTCAACAAAAAAAGTTTACCTTGTTTCTCGGGAAATGTAAGTTAGTTAGTGCAGCATATAGAATCTAAAAGTAATCGAAGAAGCGTGACTTTTGGACCAGAAACGATTAGGATTAAATATCTATACACGTGTTCTGTTTGGATACGTAATCTAGAACCATGATCTAAGGGTTTCTTTCAATTGTAAACTCCAAACTGACTCAACATTAATAATCTTACAAACGCTAAGCGACAAAATTTTATTTTGAACTAAAAATAATATTTTACAATAATCCATTTATATAAAGAAAGAGGTCTATTTAAGTCTACTATCCAATTTAACAGAATGATTTAGTGTTTTGAAAACAGAAAAAAAAATAACAATGTTAAACTAATATTTAGTCTCCCATTCTGAAAAATCATACAAATTATCAATTGAAACAAAATCCAACAAAATGAACACAGATAAAATCAAGTTGATTGTAGAACTTCAATCGTTGTATAGCAAATACATTAGAAACAGTGAATTGTTTACAATTTACAACAGTATTAAGCCCATTCCCTAGTGACTGACTGTACTTTGGATAAGTACTTCGCTTGCGTAATGAAGCTGATATTTGCTTTTTTTTCCAGAATTAAAATTACATGCAGATATTTTTACAAAGCACTTTGTAGCAATAAAACCAAATTTTTCAATCTTGGGAGGCCTCTGAAAATTACATGGTAAGTGAATAATTTTGTCAAATTTTTCCAAATATTTAACAAATACTCAAGTACCTTCAGTCGACTTTCGATTCGTATAAAATTGATTTCATAGTTTTCAATCGTTTTAAAATATTATAATGAACAAATTTCTAGTATTCTTGAAGAATAAAAATTTCGATCAATCACATTTCAAGTTGATGATGTATTTTTTAATTGAAGAATTATTCAGATTTTATCAATGTAAAAGTGTTTTGAATAATTAATATTTATGATTTTTTTAGTAGTAATGTGAACAAGAGTTATTTCTATTTAAGATTTTTTTAATATATAAAATCTTTTTCTACGCTAATTATGCGTCCTCATTCGTTTTCTGATTGCTAAAAATAAGTGATACCCATTTGACTACGTACTTATATTCACTTCATTCATTCCCTTTTGTCTGATTTTTTTATTTTTTTGAATATATTTATATCGTATTTATCTGCACATCAAGGAGTTCGTTTTTTTAAATAACAAAAGAAAAAAAAGAAAATTTATTCATATAAAACTTTGTCTGATTAGACTTAAATTCGATGCGATCAAGAATTTAATTATCATATACTGTTAGTTGATTGATACGTTAAAAGATAAGGTAGATGATAATGGTATTTTTTCTTAAAATAAATAAAAAATCGTATATTATGATTGATTTTCATCATCACTTATAGGAATAATTTGACATAACATATCTTTCAAAATTATTATCATGAAAAAAGAAAGAAAATCATATGTAAAATAACCGGAGAACAAAAGAAAAATGTTTTTTTTTCTTCACATGCACGTGTCAAGATAATGATATGCATGATTGGGCGTGTGTATAATATCTATATACATCAGCATGCAAAAGGAGCAAGGACAATGCATAACATTTTTGAACATACACACTTAATAATGGTGCTTGATTTTGCATTCTTCTTCTCTTATTGAATTCTAATTTAAATAATTATGATCAGATTTGAGTCATCATCACCGTTTTATCATTCATCTATCGATGGTCTATTAGGTTCAATTTTTCCTCATCCATCTTCACGAAATGATTCTCTTCGTTCAAATCAACAACAGCATCAACAACACCACCACCAACAGCATCAACAACACCACCACCAACAAAAACAACAACAACATCGTCTATCTTATCCATCATCGTTCAAGAATCAACAAAAAATGCCCATTTTATCTGATATTTCAAATCCAATCAGTATTAATAATACGAATAATAACAATATTCAAACATTACAGTCAAATAATAGACATTATTCATCATCAAATTATTCTCTTCCTAAAACTTCTAAATTGCCTGTTTCGAATGTTTATCGTTCACCATCGACAACTTTCTCATCATCTCCAACTGTTCTTCGTTCAACAAATATTCGGTGGGATTCAGAAATTAATGTTAATCTAAAATCATTACCATTAATAAGTCAAAAAGCAAATTTTCATATACAAAAAATTCATCCAATTAATAATACAAATAATATTAATAACTTAAATCGTTCTGAATCATTAAAATATTTATCAATCAATACTACTCCTACTCCTACTCCTACTACTCCTCTTACTACTACTACTACTAATAATAATAATGCACTAGTCTATAGTGACTTTTATGTTCTATTACCACCTGTAAACCAAAGATTTAAATTAGATGCAAAACAGTTTTGTGGTCTCGCACCTATACGTGAAATTGAAAAAGATAATATTCAGAAACAATTACCAACAGTTAAATTGTCACAAATAAATACATCATATTTTACGAATAATAATAGGGCTAAAATAAAAACAACGCATATTGAAATAGTAGATATACAGAGGTAAGCGAGTAAGATTAAATAAGAAAAATTAAGAATCTAATTGACTTCTCTTCTACTGTTACTAAATTTTCTGATATATTTTTGCATTTTTAGTTTTATTTTCTTTTGCTTTATTATTATTATTATTTATTTTTTGTTACTAGACCTGCTACGAACACTCCTCCTACATCGACAGTAGTCTCAGATAAGACTCATTCGCCATCATCAACGACACTTCAAAATACGAATAATACTGCGTCCTCGCTACCACAATCTGATTCATCTCCTACAATTAATAGTGTACTATCGACTGATTTTTCGTCTTTAAATACAAAGTATAAATTTTATTAATAAAATATTAGTTAAAAAATTTTAATTTTTTTACTTTATTTATTTTAGTGCAATACATAGTGATTTATTACCAATAGAATCAAATATTAAAGAACAAGTTAGTGATAATGAAGATGAAGATGATGCTCATGATATACGGTAAAAAATATGTTAAATATCCAATTAATTAGAGAATACATATGTTTTCTTCTACTTATTTACAATTAGAGGATCAGATGATGATGAACAAGAAGATCCAAAAGATTATTGTAAAGGAGGATATCATCCAATTACAATTGGATGTATATTTAATCAACGTTATCATGTTATTAGAAAATTAGGATGGGGTATGAAAAAATATTTAGAAGAAATTTGATAATGATTATCATTATTTGATTGATTAATTAAATTTAGGCCATTTTTCTACAGTATGGCTATGTTGGGATCGTAAATCGGTACGTTTTGTGGCTATGAAAGTTGTTAAAAGTGCTCGACATTATACCGAGACAGCATTAGATGAAATTAAACTATTGTCACATGTTCGCGACACGGATCCATCTGATCCATTTCGTTTAAAATGTGTACAATTATTAGATGATTTTAAAGTGTCAGGTATTAATGGTACTCACGTGTGTATGGTATTCGAAGTACTTGGTCATAACTTATTAAAATTAATAATACGTTCTAATTATCGTGGTATACCGATAGCAAATGTTAAGACAATAATTAAGCAAGTTTTACAAGGTCTTGATTATTTACATAAAAAATGTCATATTATACATACTGATATTAAACCAGAAAATGTGTTAATGTGTGTCGATGAAGAACATGTACGAGCACTGGCTTACCAAGCAGCCGAATGGCATAAACCAGGAATTAAACCGGTTGGATCTGCTGGTAAGTGTACATTCATACTGAATGAAGTCACAAGAAACAATTAATTTTTTTTTTCACTTTTATTTATAGTGGCAACGGCACATATTGTTAATAAACAAGATCCATCAAAAATGTCCAAAAACAAAAAGAAAAAATTAAAAAAGAAAGAAAAAATTAAACAAAAAATGTTAGAATTAACCCAACAACAAATACAAGTAAGATCAAAAACAGTGTATGATATTATCATCAGTTTTGATAGCATTTTCTTTTCTTTTTTATTAAAGGAAGCTGAAAAACAAAAACAAAATCTTCTTAGTTCACCAAGTCAAATTAATTTAAATAAATTGGTTATCAGTGATGATAACAATACACCAGCCGATAGTTTGAAGACACCAACAACACCAGGTAAACATACATGTGTTAAATAATGTATTGTCTCTCACTCTTGAAACATTTTCATATCTTTGTAGATGCTAATCTAGTTGTCAACAAAACAAAGTCGTCTGAAATCATTTCTCCTCCAGTTTTAAATAGTACGAATATCAATGGATATAACGATAAATCGCATCAGCAACAATCAAAACGATCGCAATCAGATGAAACGAAACTTGAACCTTTAGCTACTGTGTTTAACGGTAAAGAAGATGACGATGAAGAAGACGAAGATGAAACGGAACTGAAAGATAATGCAGCAACAGATGTAACAGTAACAAATGGTAGTGAACGAACGGCCAATAATAATAATAGTACGCCAACAACCACAACAAATAACAAAAGACAATCGGAACAATCGTGAGTGATCATTTCTTATGCAATCGAATAGTGTAAAAGTCGAAGATTCTGTTAGACTTCTAAGTTAATAAGAAACTTCTAAACTTCTATTAGACAAAATAGGTGGTTTTCTCATATTGTTTTCCATCTGTTAGAACAAAACATATGCGAATACATATCACATTTACTTATTGTCTGATATCAGTAGTATATATGGAAAGATTTCATGCAGCTTTCGGCGATAAGGGAGAACTACAATTGATTTCTCTAATCGTCCAACAATGACTTTTCCGTTAATAAGCAAACCATAAAAGATCAATACAGGTTCACACATGTAATAATATACTGTGCGTACAACTTATCAGAAACTTTCGATAATTAAATCGAAATGAAAGCACCCGCAGTCTAACACTCAGACTCACCATATGTTATTTCGTAGCTCACTCTTATGCACCACAATCCATCCTTCGGCTCCAGTGCTCAAAATGTCTAATATAGTCTAAAAGCCTAATAGTCTAAATATCTTTAGACTTTTCAAAAATCTAAGTAAATCTTCGACTATTATGCGTATGATTTAATCAATTAATTTGTATGAAGTAGTCACTATTTGTATTTTCCACCCAGATTCCAAATGGTACTTCAATAACGTGCATAATTTATAAATTTTTTAGATTAAATGAAGCAGCAGCCCGTGCCGCAGCAGCTGCCATTGCTGGAGATAATTTAAATAAACCAGAACCAAGTGATACCGTATCAGCAGGTATATTAAAAAGAGCGTTGAACAGGTGAAGGACGCATAACATTTAATTACAGTGAAACTGTTCGAATAAGAGATGTAACAGTTACCGCTGCTTTAGGTACAAAATACATAGTAATTAAAGTAAAGGTAACTGTGGTTGAAGTACAGAATAAGAAGTGATTTAATAATTAGAAAGGTCTTTATGTTGATATGATGTTGTTTTAGCCCGTCCAATGGCTGAACGAACACCAAATCCTGTCACAGAAATTGTACCGGAAGATATTTTCCAAGTAAAAATTGCTGATTTAGGAAATGCCTGTTGGACAGTAAGTAATACTCGGTGCATAGTGAAAATATCTCCAATAATGTATTGGTTCATATTCATTTAGTATCAGCATTTTACGGAAGATATTCAAACACGACAATATCGTTCGTTAGAAGTTATTTTAGGATCTGGTTATGATCCATCAGCTGATATATGGAGTGTTGCTTGTATGGTAAGAGAAATTGTGCCCCTTTTCCATTTCATTCTCATACTTTATTGTCTTCTTATTTAGGCATTTGAATTGGCTACTGGTGATTATTTATTTGAACCACATAGTGGTGAAGATTATAGCCGAGATGAGGATCATATTGCACATATTATTGAATTGTTGGGAGCTATTCCTATTGAAATAGCACATTCAGGAAGATATTCAAGAGAATTTTTTAATAAACGAGGTAATCATAGAAAACAGTCATTTTCAGCTACATATTCACAATACTTCTTCTAGTCATATTCTGACCTTTTTGCAATTACTACTAGTAGCTACTATCCTTAAGACTTACAAGTGTACGTAAAGGATGACTAATTTTCTTCTTGATCACCTGTTTCGAGTGTATACATTTTTTCATTGCTATCATACGATAAACTGAGGTTGTGCGTCTTACTAGCTTCTGTTTTAAAAGATCAGAAAGTAAGAAAGTGCGTGTCAATAAGACTAAATACTCAAAAATTATAGACTTTTGTAGAATTTTGTTATTTTTTTTGTTTTTTGATGCTTTTATAGGTCTGCTTCGTAATATACGACATTTGAAACCATGGGATTTATTTCGTGTTCTAACAGAAAAGTATAAATGGCCACCGTATGATGCAATTGAATTTACTCATTTTCTTGAACCGATGTTAAGCTATGACGTTCGTATTCGTGCAACAGCAGCCGAATGTTTACAAAATCCATGGATTACGGGTGAACCTCTATTTCCACCGGATGACGGTTTAACATATCCTGAAAATGAGCAACTTCTACATAATTCTGCCATAAACAATTTATTTGAATATCGTGCATCGAATTTAATGAATAGTCATAATGATCGTTATTCTCCACCATTAGAACAACATCAGGTACCTGGTCAACAACATATGTACATGAACTATGAACGCGATAATGAAGCAGAATCAAGTGAAATGTCAACAGAAGATGAATCAGATAATGAAACAGATGAAGATGATTATGAGGATCAATCATAGGACGAATTCAATATACGAGTGTAAATTTTTATTCGTAGAATATCATTGAAGACATAACTCTTCTCTTTTTTTTCTCTCTGTTTTCTGTAGTTGTTGTTAATTTGTTTTTTTTTGTGAGTGGTGGTAATCTCGCTCTCGATTATCGTTGTCTACATCTTCGGTACTGTGATATTGGACAGGAACTACGATCAGTGCGTGAAAACAGGTATTTTTTTCTCTCGTTTGCCATATGTGTAGATAAACTCGTTCGTGTGTGTTGAGAACGATGAACGATTAAAGGAGGAACATCAGGAATTTCTTTTTTCTTTCATTTACGCGGCGATCCTTTACAACAACAAAAAAACCCAAAACAGTGTGGTTGTCAAAATCATTCCTGCATAAATAAACGCATTTATGACGTGTGTGTGTGTGTGTGTATGTGATGTGTAACGACGAGAAAACATGCTTGGCCGTTTTTCTCCTTTGTACATGTGTTGTTGTTGTTGTTTACATTATTTTTTTTATGCACTAATGATGATATCTTTTTTTTCTTTAGTTTTATTATTATTTTAAAAGAAACTATCCACAACAAAAGTGTTTTTCTCTATCTTCTTCACAAATATATTGCTTCATCTTGCTCTCTGTTTGATGTTATTTGCTACGATTGTTATTATTATACTTTGTAACGTAAAGCACGATATAAATGCTTCTTTTCGTTCTAAAATGACAAAAATTTTTTCTCAGTTTTTTTGTAGTGTTGTTTAACAGCATAGATGTAACAAGAGTCTACAACTTGAAAAATGTCAGAAATGCTTTTTCATCCTCTTTTTCATCACACTTACGGCTACAATTTGTTTCATTTCATTTTTCGATTTGTGTTCATCTTTTTCTTATATTGACTTATCTTCGATTGCATCTTTTTGAAGAAAGAAATCAGGCACCATTTCAAAAGACTTATAGATAAAGAGCATTTTCCTTCAAAAAAATGAAGGAATAGATGATACGTTAAAACAGTAAAATTAAGCCAATCCTAAAGGATTTTCATGTCATTCCTGATTACTTTCGTCATCTACATTGGGAGTTTCATGGTTTCGATTTGAGTAGATAAAAATTGTTAAGACGATTTAGTATTGCAATTATAATTTTTGTTAAAAAGTTTGTAGATGTATGGTTGAAATGATTTTCAGGGTCTCTTAGAATATTTACAAATTGAATATTCATTTATTCACATATCCTGTGATTGAAGAGAGCCTAAATTTGTCGAAAGTTATTTATTCTTTTTATTACCGTGGCAGTCCTTAAATTTAATAACTATGATATCGAATAACAACAACGAATAACTCAAATATGACTAGTATCCATAATTCCATCAAGTCTGCACCACATTTACCGAGACTTTGATTCGAATTAGAGATGATGTAGAATTTTTGTACGAATGAGATGGCAGAAGTTTATTGAAAAAACATCAGTATAGAGTAAGATAGTTTTCATAAACAACAAAAGAATACATTAAAATTCAAAAAAGGTTTTTAAAAGCCTTTTCTTATCTCAATCTCGCACATCTCTAACCGATAGTGTGCTAATATTTCAAATTGATGTTCATATATATATATAAATGTGTAAACGAATTTTTCTCATATCTCAAAAGGTTGAAGATGAATCTGTCGATTCGAAAGTTGTTTCGAATAATAAATTTCAATTTCAGAAAAACTTACTTAGCCGAGAAAATATGAATACATTGAAATGGATGGTAGCAGCATAAATAATTTGATATTTTTCTCTTAGTAGAATCAAATCATCAATCAAGATTATTTATTTCTTATTTATCCATTCTGGTTCTTGCTGTTAACTGACACACACAAAAAAATGATGAATATTGAGTTGGTATGAAAGTAAATTCTATATGGTCTTGAGAATATATCCAACTATCGACAACTTTTATTGATAAAGCATCTGTATTAGACTGCACAAAAACAAAATGAAGATATAGATGATTTCATTCGACAAAATAAATAAACATTTTGTTGAATGACTGATGTTGATATTGCTAGTAAGTATCGCACGAGTAATCGATAGACGAACCTGAAATAAATCGTTGATATCACAGCGCATCATTTCACTCACAAAATTTATTTTATTAATGATAATGCATGAGATCGCTCGCCTAATTCTTAATAAATAATATATTGGTTCATATAAATTTTTAATTAAAATTACAAGCAAAACTTATCTATCTTGTGGCTAAAAATAAAAAATTTTCTACTGTCACTAATAACCAACGTAATGCATATTCTAGTACTTAATTAAGTTTTTTTACGTTTTCAATCTAGGACTCTAAGAATTTTTGTCAATTTACAAAGATGAAGTTCTCTATTTAGTTTCTATAACCTTCAGAAATTGGACATATTTTTAACAGTTAGTATTTTTTCAACAAATAATTATTCGAGTGTATAGGTTTTTGCTATACCGAAATATCGAAAAAATCAGCTATTTCAAATGAGTTATCATGAATTTTCCTAAAGTATTAAAATAATAGAAGATTATGCAGACTCTTAACTTATCGTTGTCCAATGGATCGTACTATTTTTCAGACGAGGTCTGGTGCTCATAGATACGGATGAGAAATGGTCTATTTTTATTAAAATGTACAATTGGATTGTTATGTAAAGACAAATTTTGTCGCATTGAAGCCTGTTTGTATTGTGAGTTCTTAGTTTTATATCGGTATATATTGTGATAGTAACATTAATTTCGAATATTTTCCTACTTATTTTTATGTCAACTTCATAAGATTTTGGATCAAATTATGCATTGCACTAGAAGTTGTCAGACCATTTATCCAGCATCAGATAATGTGAAGAATTTGTATTTTCGAAACAGCATAGATACCACATAAAATTGAATCGATGTAGTCATTGTATAGTGAGTACTTTATTCGTACCAGTCTTCAGGAAAAATGATAAGTTTTCTGTTTTTCAAATAAATGGCTCTATAACAGCCATTTATATAACTTACAAAACATATTTTTCAAACACAGACAATTATAATAAAAGCCGGAGTCCTTCAGAAAAAGCATAATGAATGATAAAAATATGTTCTTTTAACCGGAATCACTGTAACATATGTGAATCTGGTGATTATTTCTTTTTGTTTCGATTGGAAAATACCTGTTCTATGTATGTTTAAAATAAATTTCTTATAGAAAAAAAATGTCATCAAAATGAGCGCTGAGGAGAATGAGTTCGTTTGCTTTTTTTAATATAAAAGAACAGAGAACATTCATCAAATAACGATATAGAGAATGAGAAAAATAGATCTAAATGTAAATATATTACACAAATATCGTTACAAACAAACTATAGAAAGTGAAGAAAAGAAAAAGAAACGAGCGAACAACTACATAGTTTTTATGTACATTCGATGACGGCAGAAAATACATTACAGATAAAACGAGAGAGCGATGCATATATGAGATTAAACGATTTAGGCAAATAATTACAGATTGTTAAAAACATTATCTTACAAGAAGAACAATCAAAAATAAAAACTCATCCTTCTTTGTAAGTTGTGCGCACAAAAACAACAACAATACGAAAAGATTAGATACGAATAATTTCAGTAAGAGATGAAGTTTTAAGATGTTGATGTACCATAATTCATTAATTCGGAAAATGCACGTTCAAATGCTTGATGTAGTTCACTATAACTGACAATCATAACATTTTGTTCATCACGAGATGTTAAACAAATTTTCTCGTGTGAACCACTGTCAAACTAAATAAATAAATAAAAAACAAAAACAAAATTGAATACTATGGGTTAAGTAAATCAAGTGGAAAGTAAATTTTTTCTAGCTTACCTTATTTAAACACTGTACAATATGAGCCAAATCTAAGATTGGTTCACCGTTGAAACCAACACCGTGAAATACATAATCACGAAATAATTTGAGAATATAACGATCACCCGTTTCGCTCCATGCTTGATTCAATGCATGTCTAAGAAAAAAAAAACAAAGACAGATAACTTTAAACCATCTTTCACAGAATAAGTCAAATGTATTGATGAAATAATATTCTATTTTAATATTGTATTCGAATACGTACTCTGGACGTTCGAGTAGTGCATCAAGTTTACAAATAAGTCGAAATAAGCGACCACAATCAATCTCCTAAAGAATACATAAGAGAAAATAAGTCTTAATTTTAGAACAAATTTCTGCTTACTTTAGATAACTCATTTTCGACAATGTCACCTCGAACATACAGACTATCGATTTGTGCATAAAACCTAGCCCCAATCATTGGCATCACATCGTTGATATTTTTCATTGGTCGATTATTTAACGATAAAAAATGACTTTGAAAGGAAAAAAAGAAAAGACAAACTTATTCAGACTAAGATGAAATTAACAATCCAAAATCAAATCATGAAGTCTTTGTGACTGTTTATTTCAAAATGTAAAAGTGAAAAGTTATACGAAAAATATCGACAAGCTCCAGAATTGCCAACTTTCTGGAATATCTTCAGCTAATTAAGAGGAGGAGGTATCTTCTCTCTTATTTTAAGATATGTCTTACACCTCGTTGACTTATATATACCCTGCAATGTTTTTTCATAGAAAAAGTGTACTCCGGGAGTTTTAGAGTTATGAACTTTTTTCCCGCTTAGTATGCTGGACAAAGCGAAAGTATTTTTGAAAAGTTCTTGCCAAGTAAAGGGAAGGCCATATCTTGACCTGTGACAATAAGCTTTTTTTCGTTCATCTGACTTGAACTTTTTCTTAAACATTAAAAATAGTAAAATTGCTGAAATGGCAGTCAACCAAGACCTTAGTTTTTGATGGTTCGGATGTGGCTTTGGATTTACTGGAAGCTCCAGGACTGGTATCTACTGGCTTTTGGTAGCCTAGAAATCAGATGGAACATAGGTAATCGACCACGTTGAATCTCGTGGCAATATTTGTTTCTTGGAAAAATGCAAAAAGCTAGAGAAAATGGACCTTATCTCTATCATCACAGTAACGCAATTTCGTGTAAAATTATAGAGGGTACTGATAACGAGTTATTTCTTTTCTTGCCAAATAGTTCATTAAAAAAGTAAATAAAACATCTTGTCATAATAAAACGAATCTAAATAGCTTGATAGGTTTGGATAGAGTTATAAGAATTTTGACGTAATGATAGGAGACTGCTCGTCGAGAATGGTGGTTTCTGAGAATATCGATAAAGGAAGAAACATTTCATGTAACCATTCATAATGTGGAAGAATTTGGATTCAAGGAAAATAGAGCTTTCCACAGACTACCAATTGAATAGTTAGATTTTTCCATATTGTTAGAAAGATAAGGCATAAATGTTAGAAAGTTGACCATTTTGGACCTTCTTAGTATTATGTCTTCTTTGTAGTAGAATACTTCATGTTTTTTTCGTAGAGTATAGACGCATCTTTCACACAAAAAGTTGTCTTTCGAGACTTTAATTTAAAGAAATTTTAAGCAAAATACTAGGTGACGCATTGTTGTTGGCACATTCGTTAATTTCACTTACATAATAAGATTTTTTAGATCAAGTGAATAATTTCTATGTACAATATCCAACGATGTTTGTAGATGTTCCTTTTGTGCACCAACAATCGAATTGCATGCCAACATCAACACAAGACGACCGAAATCTTGTAAATCATTTTGCTAGAAGAAAGAAAACAGTTGGAAAAAAATTGTTATTAGGTAAGATAAGAAATAAATACTTGATGTTGAACAAGGGAAGAATGTGTTTGTCCAGTCGTTCCAACATCTAAAATATCAGCAATTCCAACGCCGCTTAACCAAATCCTTGAGAAAAACATACAAAAATGAAATAAATATCACAAAAAAAAGAGGAAGATTGTGGTACCTTGATTTGGCACGAGACACTTTCGAATCACCATCGACCAGTAAACGTGACAGATGTAAACATCGACAACTGAGATTAGCCGAATGAATTGTACGTATCAACGATGATATTTGTACAACATATTCCCAAATAAGTGCTTCAGCTAATAAACCGGCTTGAGTTGTCCCTAAAAAATTTGACTATTTGCCTTTCTTCGAACAATAAAAGAATACTGGACACCTTTTCCAGCACTAAACGGTCGATCCTTTCCATCTAAATTATAGGGATTAGACCATCCTTTTGATAATATATTGGGTGAACTAAAGTGACGTTTTTGTAATGTTTCACAACACGGGATAAAATCGAAAACAAATACCACCGCTGAAAATCGAACAAAAATACTCAATTCATACATTTTGATATTTTATTCATTTTCCTCCTTACATGTTTGCTCGTCTTCAAAATCTTTTGTTAAAAAAACATCACGTAATTGTACAATGTTAGCGTGAGCTAATTTTTTCCATGTTTCACATATTTCATATTGTCGTGTTGTGGGTAATTTACAACCTTAAACACAATAAAAAATGAATGAATAAAACAATTTTTATTATTTTTTATTTTTTATTACCCATTATTCGTTTTAAATAACATACAGCATTCGTACGTATATGTGTTGCTTTATAACTAATTGTTTGATATCGAAAGGTTCGTGATTTATGGGTAACATTTGCTTGGCTACTATCCAATGGTGTTAAATTGTAATAATCACCAACACGTTCAGGAATAGCTAAAATAAAAAATATAATTTATTGATAGAATTAAAACACAATTTAGAATAACTACCAGAGGCAACATCGAGACTTGTACATGCCGTTAACATTTGATTTCGCCTCAATATTTCTGCTCTAAAAACAACAACAACAAAATATATAAAAAAAAAAATTAAGTACAATGAAAATAACAATAGTTTGTACCTTAGTTCATCCGACATAAAATAGGAAAAATCAGGTTTGACATGACGAATATAGGAACTATCGGGTGGAGCTGTTCGTTCTTTTTCATCACGAGTTGAATTCGATGCCAGAAGATCGTCTTCGGTTATTTGTATTTGATGTTGTGAATAGGGATAAAAATCAAGATTTTCGGGTGACATATTACGCGGAGATGTTGCAGCTACATCAGCTAAAATTTTGCAATACATGCATGACATTGTAAAAAAATTCAAAAGTAGTGTATAACAAAAAAATATATTCCTAGTAACATTTAAATAGGACTGAATACAACTTAACCAAAAAAATAAAATACTTGTATGCACATTTCTTCTCGCAAAAATGAAGACTTATATTGCTAAAATATCAATTCAACGTGCAAAATGCAAGCAGAAATAAAAATTTAGTCAATATAGCATACTTGTAGATTGTAAAGTTTTTTGTACTGAAAGAAAAATATTAAACACAAAGTGAAAAATGTTGTTAGATGCTCAATTCAAAGTACAGTTATAAAAATATCCATATCCCTCTAAACGCAATCGACATGCCAAATATGAGAAATATTTTCAAATTTATTAGTAAATCAGCGAGTAGCGATCCTGTGATTTTTTTTATACGAAAAATATACTATAAATTTAAATATATGAAGTAAAATAATATTCAATTTCTTTCATTTTCAAAACAAGATACGAATACTAAACATCATTTCTTACCATGGCTAGATACCAATCCTAGTGAATTTGTTCCCCCATACAATCCGTTTCCTATATGTGCAAGTCTTGAACTACTAATTATATTATTGTTCTAAATTCATCAACAATGAAGAGAATGTTTTATATATTGCACTCTTTTGCTTACATGTAATGGATATTTTACCGATTGTGAATGAAGGTCTGTTAAATAGGCACTATTATTTGTACTTGTACTATTGCCACCAAGTGTAGAGTCTCTTGTCAAAATTGTTGGTTGAGAATAACTTGAATTATTATAATATGTTGAACCAACTCTAGGTGGTGTTGTATGAAAATTATTGAAACGAGGCTAAAAAGAATTTATTACAATAACAAAAGAAAGATAAAAATAATAATGTTTACCTGCTGAAAGGGTGAATACATTTCGTTGTCTAACGTACCATTGGACATCATTGTTTTGATAGTACGTATACCTAGTGAATGATAACAAAGTAGATTAAGTAAATCAATTTACAATTTTAGCCGATTGCTAATACATACTCTAGATAAATATTTGATTAGCGTTGTTCTTTCATTTCTTCAAAAGGCGTGTGACGCCACATGTTGCGAAATATCATCTTTTTTTCATATCTAAAATGACAAATTGTTAAACATAAATAACATAGATATTTTGGTGAACAGAAAGATCTAAGAGAAGCGAAAGAGCTTCCTTTTAATCAAAATGTGAATCAACAGAATCAATGAAAGATAAATTTTTTAAAGTCGCGTTTAGATCTATCAGAGAAATAATCAAATCGTGTTTTGTTCAAAGTCAAACAAACTACACTTTCAAAAGAAAGTGACTAAAAATGCAGAGCACTAGTAACGTGCAAGAATATTTCTCTTCTATAGTTACATCCGTAATTTTGTTAAATATTTATTTATTTATTCAAGGAATTCATGCCTTAATTAGCATACGCACAATAAAGAGAAAAAATAGCCACACACACGCACAATAGTCTATTCATTCTCCAAAAAAGTATATCTATGATGTTGAACTTGAACGAAGAAATACGCAAAGAAAAAAATAATTAAGTAAATAGAAAAACCAAAAAAAAATTAGAAGAAAAGTTTTATGGTGGTAAAGGTTACAACATTTAGGCACAGCAAAAGATACATATAAAAGAAAAGGGAACACCGTACAACTAAAGGGAAAAAAGTTCAGATATGGTTCGTACATACATACACACACACACACAAACGAATGTAGTTATATCTGATCCATAACTGATTCTGGACTTTTTTTCTTTGAGATCTATATCTATTCCTATATATATCTAGAGATATATATAAATGAGACACGTGAGACAAAGCAAAAATCCTGCATCTGATGACTGCATAACTAAGTACGTCAGGTATAAAAATGTTAATAAAAAATAGTCAGTTATATCAGTGGAGACTCAAAAAACATCACTGATTTTGAGAAAAGCTAGAGCAATGTATAGAGAAATATTGTATTGGAAAAAAAAGAGAAAAATGAGAATAATACTGTATAGATAAAAAAATGATAGAGCTATGAGCGTGATGTTACGTATGTGCCATTGTTGTTACATAGGAATGTTGTTTACCATAACGGTCCGTGTGATTTTCCTCCAGGTGGTTGCAAAACACGACTGGATGTATGAATAGCCTAAATAAAAAAAAACAAGCTCTAGTAGATGAAGTCCGTTTATCGGGTACAGGATTTTAAGAAACGGATGATTTATAACATATGTGCTTTTAATATCTACCAGAAATATGTTCTGCATTACTGACTATTTATGGTTTTTAACTGTTCGTCGAAAGGAATTGCTTTTGAAAACATACCTATCTGTATTACACACTGTTCTCAGTTCTCTATATTTTTTCGAATCACTTTGATTCATACAGGTAAACGGCGAATATATAATCATCAGTGAACAGTGTAATAAACAGATTCGAACAACTAAACGCATGTTTCAACATACATCTCATTAAGATACTTATCTACAGATCAACTGGAATCAGTGTCACTCGATTGAGAACTCAAAAAGTAGAATATAAGAATACTAACGTACCTGTTGTTGTTGTTGTTTTTCATTTCCGTTTGCTGTCGTTTCACCATTCGTGCGAGACGAACCATTAACACCTGAATCATGTTCCGATGTTTTTGTTGTGTTACCATTTTCAAGCTTTTCATGATCCGTTAAATTTTGTTTAGTATCATTCTTATTAACACCATCTTGATCATGAACATCATTGGCCGTTTGTACTTGGTCGTTGTGTTGTTTTTTCTCATTATTTGAATCAGGACCTTTATTTGTATTGTAGGACTCACCAGTAATACAATTATAACCCACTTGAATAAGAAAAAAAACAAGCAGTTAGTTAATCAGCAATATGTAAGAATCTACCATTATATGAATTTAAAAAAGAATAAGCGAAAATAAAAAAGCGTTACTCCAATTTCCGCATGAAAACAATATTAGCATAATATTTGACAAAAAGAGAAAAAGCCAAACAAAAAAGCGTAAAAGGAACAAGTACACACACATGTGTCATTGTTAATGTGTAAGAATGTGCATTAAAGCAAAAAAAAAATGGATAATAAATCGCCATATCCTATCAGTAATTATCATATATAAATAAATAAGCAAACACAGCGCATGAGTGTTTCAATATACAAGAAGCATAGTGAAACCGATTTCGGCAATAACAAAAAACACCTTTACCAATTATTTATAAACAAGTGGAAGCCAATAATGTTGCTGTTTGAAGTCAATACGACTTTCAAGGTGCTTAAATGGAACTTCCACGAATTTGAAAAACTTTAACTATCATCAAATATATATATATTCTTGATGTTAAAATATATATATATATATATATTGTTTTAGTGACCTCTGATTCACTTGTGATAGGGTGAATACAAAGCTGTACGATAAACTGCTGCTGCCACAACGAATTCTCATTATTTTTCATTGTTTAAACCAAATGTGACACTACATATCATTGAAGAAGCACATAAAAATGTCGAACGTGTGCGGATGTTTTTAAAAAGCCTAAAAAAAGCATGCATAAGAGAAAATAGATAATAATGACAACAAAAAAAAGTTTTTAAAACAACCTGATTGTTTTAGTTAATTAACTCGCTATTGTTCACAAAAAAACTAGTTCAAAGTGATCAAATCGGTGTTTTTGTTAACAAACGTCACACGCTCACACACAGAATATCCTTATTATCCACTATTACTTGCTTTAAGAATAAAATAAATGCTTTAGAGAGTAATATTGTTTTATTAATGTCTCTCAAAGCGGTAAATAGAAATTTCCTTTTTTACCTCTAAAAAAATCTATCTACTCCTTTCAAAATGATACTTTTAAATTTGAAAAAACTTTAAGACAAATTATTTCAATGTATTATAAATTAATCTGATATTTTGTTCTGAGAGAACGTTTAATTCTAATTTTTACTATCTCTTCTTTTATGAATGATAGTTTTATTGAGTCTCGTTAATAGGATACAACAACTCGTGTTAATCGACACTGTACTTTAAACAAATGATTTTTGTTCTGATTTGTTTAAAATACTCAAAGCTAGTTAATATAATTATAGAAACAGACAGAAAGCGAACACAAAAGTTCTATTGGGATGGGTCCTAATATACTGATTTCTGCCTGTAGACTAAAGCAAACAATCACACACTCACTCCTTGATGCATTTGGATCTGAAAATAAATGAAAATAATAATGCACAACAAAAGAAAAAAAATACCGTAGTTGTTGACGCTGTCATCATTAGCTGCGGGAGCTTAGCGCGATACCAGAACTAGCTTCGTTCTGCTAACCTGTTACTCTTAATGGTGAATATTCTCCCATGGCAATACACGGCCGATAGCGATTATTGTTTGTCAATGATCTCTGATACATACCTCTGACTCCTTGACGTCCTCCCCTTTTCTTTTGATCATTTTCATTATCATTAAATATATTCGATTTATTTTTGTCTGAGAATGAACTAGCTGCTGTTGACTTTTGTGTTTGATCATTGGTATCGAATATGTTTGATCGCATTTGATTTTGTCTATGTAAATCCGCTGTACGAGTATTATTTGTATGATTTATTTCATTTGTTTCATTTTGACTACTTGAGATATCTGAAGAATTACGAACCGGTTTTGTCGTTTGTGGTTGCTGTTGTGGACCGTCGAAAATATTCGATTTGTTTTTGTCAGAAGGAATTGTTGACGACTTTGCTGCAACTTGGTTAGTTTCATCTTTACCACCAAATATATTTGAACCAGAATAATCTCGACTACGCGATGATCTATCAAAATAAACATAGTTTTAGACTACAGCAAAAATGATTTAACCACACATAACAGCATACTTTTGTACATCATTATCGTCGTTAAAACCAAATATATTAGAACTCATATGATTTTTTTTATTTGCTTGTGCCTGTTCTTGTTCTGATGTATTAAAAATATTGTTACTTTTACCACCTGTTGACGTATGATCTTTCGAAACACCGGACATGTCTATTTTCTTTTAACTGTGATTTATGAGAGAAAATATCAGTAAATAAAAAACTAAAATGAAATTAATATACCGTTTTGTTAGTAAAAATACTCAAAATAACTTGATAACATTTTTTGAAATAAATAAAGATACTTAGAGCAAGATGACGTAAAAAAGGTCATTTCTACTCTCAACGTACTTACAGAAACATCTCAACTAAAACGAAATACCAATTGAGATGGAAGAAAGTCTCTTTCGTTAAACTACCAAACAAAAAAATCAGATAAAGAATGATAATCAAACAGTTTCCAAATACAGTTGTAGTTACATGACAAACAAAAATCAAGCCAAGTCTTAGTTTATTTTGTAAAACTGTCTTTTATCTTCACTTTGAAGAAAAGTACTCATGCTAGATGTACCGTCCCTCTTTTGAAACAAAAAACCAAAAGTCTTCTGATTTCTTTTATGCTATAGAACAATCAGTGTAAACAAAAAACAAGTTTTGAACTTCACAACTAAACTTTACACTCTTATCAAAACGTAAATAAAAAAAAGTCTATTTTCAAAAAACAAACAGATAATCAATAATAAAGTCTTAAATAAGCTAAAAGTTTATTTTCATGTTTTATTGAAATTTTACAAGAAATACTAACATGTACCATAACGAAAAAAGTTTTTACTTTATTTATTACAATAAAATAAAGTAAAACGAGAATCAAAACATAAACAGATGGTTAAAACTGGAGATTTGCTGACTTCCTTCGAAGACGTCACCGTTTCGAAACTTTATTCGGAAAATGATTAAAATAACTGCAGCAGAAAAAATAGCTTTTTGTGTAAACGTAGAACAATAGCTGAAAATGAAACTTGAGACATCTCTACCAAACCGCTAATACAAGCAACAAAATCGAAAGAATGCAGCAGTCCTGACACGTTCCAAAAATCAAGAAACTATTTCTAACTGAATGGCTGAAGACATTTTAAATTAAAAAGTTCATTTTGCTTATCTAGAGTACTGCTTCCTTGTCAAAAAATATTTTCAACATGCTTTGTATCCACAACAAGCACTTTCATAAAACAGTATCATTCTAATGTTAACAGAGAAAATTTGGAGTAGATTTTATTCGAATGTTTCTTTTAAGAAAAACATTTGTCGTTCTTTTGCAGCAGTAAAATCAATAAAAATTACAAAAAACATCTACCGTTCACCACCTTATAGATATAGCTTACATGACGTTGAAAAATATTTAAGTCATAACAGTCAAAAACGATAGTTGTAGCTCTATCCATCTTTCATATGTTCAGTCTATAGGAAAACATCTCTACTTTATCATTTGTTAGTTAAATGGGTCAATCTATAAAAATTCGAACTTCTGTAGAGGTTTTTCTTAAGCAGAAAAGAACAAGCGCATATCTTAAAACGATCATGTATACATAAAATTTTGTATTTTTTAACGTCAAAATCATCTTTAACCGAGCTAAATTTTAAAAAAAAGTCTTTTACAAAAACTGACAAATTAGTCGACATAGCATGGTGCTTGTATTGTTGTGATAAAAATGTAGCGACAGATTTTACTGTGGCATTGCTACACTTTTCACATGACTCTTCGAAACGAACGCATTTGTTACTTCTTTGATAGAAGTACTTCCTAGGAACAAAAATTGGAGTTAATACTCCACAATCAATACAAACCAATTTTTGATTTTTTGCGTAGATTGTAACGATTTGCCCTTAACGTTTACTCTTGAAGTATCTTAACCCATTCATTTATTCCTTTCCTTCGAGTACGTCGGCCATTTTGATGCATTTAGAGTTGTACCTCTATGAATTATAAAACGTCGCATTATTTTAAAAGAAAACAGTCGCCGAATGTGTTAAAACAGTTACCTATATTTATGCTTTTAGAGAGCTGCCGATGCGACAAAAAAATTTTCAAATTATTCCGTTGCGCCACAAGAGCTGCAATTGTTTGAAGAGCTGATCATTAGTTCGTTTTCCTTCTTTATAATAATTTAAAAATGTAGATGTTATTCTTCGCTAAAAAGGAACAGGAAAAGTGTAGAAATAGTAAAGAGGAATTAGATGGAAATATTCGAGTTGCGTGTCAAACACTAACAGATATGTAATGTGCGCTGATGAAACTTTTCCAGTGATGGTGTTTGAGTTCCATGTCCCTAGTCGAGATTCTTGTCGAATGAAAATACTGGCAGAGACCGATTACTGTCTTCTGAAGTTGTGCTGCGAGCAAAATTGCCAGATGCTCAGGTCAGAAATGCGGAATAAAAATTTCAAAGTGCTGAAAATTGCTGAAAAAAACGGAAACGCGTTTTCATGATCCAACTCATCCCTTTCACGCGCAGAGAGTCAAAAAAATGGTTTCCTTAGCACTTTGTGGCTTTACTCAATAAAACACAAGAGAACGACAAACAGAAATGTAAATCTCGATTTTAATTGACACATTGTTTTTTTACTGTAGATTTTGATTAGAATGAATAAGTTTAAGCAGTTCTGACGTTGATAAGAAATAATTATAAATTTCAGTGCATGATAACGATGAGTTTAAACGAATTTGTGACTCAGGGGAAAAATAGTAAAAGCCGAAAAACCCTAAAATGCGGACAAATTGCGGAAAAATCTCAAAAATCCGGAATTTATCGGCAAAATGCGGACCATCTGGCAATTCTGGATGCGAGTTCATGTGAACTTCTGTGTCATGCTGGACAGCCTTTGGCTGTAACTGGGTGGTGATGTCAACATGTAACTGTCACTTACTGTGCGAATCATTTCTTCGGGTTTTGAAGATGGCTTATCGATGACTCCACAAGATTTGAATTATTTTTCGTTTATCTTAAAAGAAATTTCTTCACTATGCGCAGAAAAAAGATTTCCTGAAAGTGGAGTAAGGGGCAGCCGAGTTCATAGAACTCTATATTCATCAAATTTTCAAGGTTAGCAGAAAGAATTCAAGAATTAGCATTTAGTTTTTTTCCAGTTTCTGAAATTTTAGAATTAGCATCAAGTATTCAGAAATACAAATCAAGCTTTTTCTTAATTCAACAATTGAAGAATTCAGAAATAGCCATCACGGATTTGTCTTAACTCAGAGAATGCAGGAGTTCATAAATTGAATTCATCTGTTTCCAATTCCAGAAAGATTCAACAATTTCCGAGTTGACAGACACCTTTTAGTTTTTTCAATTGCAAGAGTACAATAATTGAAAAGCCGGAAATGTCACGTTTTATGAATTTCTTGAATTGGAAAAGGTCAAAAATTCTGTGAATTTGTATGGAACCCGTTTGAACTCACATATTCAGAATAGTCATAAACCAACGAATTGCGGGCATCAGAGTGGACTGTAGCGTATGATTCAATGTTGGGTAGAGACTCACTCTCATCGTTCCACACCGCACTATGGTTACAAAGAGACTTCCTATTTGTTAGTCTTTGAATTAAAACTTATGCATTCTTTCAATTCCTGACTACTAGAATTCTCAGAATTGCTCAAACCGATTCGATAAAAATTCAAAGAATTTTTGACTTTTTTGAATTCAAGAAATTGAGAAAAGTCACATTTTCAGTTTTTGAATTTTTATATTCTTTCAATTGAAAAAACTCAAAAGTCTGGCTCAATTTCTGAATATCTGAATTCCTGAATTAAGAAAAATCCTTAATGATTATTTCTGAATTCTGGAATTCCTGAATTCTTGAATCTTTCTCGAGTTGGAAAAAGATTTTATTTTGTATAAGCTTACCTTTCAGCCAGTGTTTAGATAAGAAACAATAACGATATGGAACGAAGCTGAAGTTTAGGCTTCTGAAACCAGGTTTTGGGAAAAAATTGTATAAGTTGTATTAGGTTAACCTAGGTTAGGTTAGATTTAGGTTACGAATTTCGTAGGTTAGGTTAGGTTTAGGTTGTGAAACTTTTTATAGGTTAGGTTATAGGTTGACAAAAAGTCGTAACCTGCAGGGCTCTAGTTAATAGGAGCGTACCTAGCATCTCACAGCAGGGAGGTGACAAAAAAATTTTTCGTTCTTCCAAAAACGATGGTTTTTTGATGAGCGACAGACATAAAACAGAAACTTTTTCGAAAGCAGGGGGTGGTAACAACCCTCCAGTAGGTACGCCCCTGTGGGTTAAGAAATGTCACAAGGTCTTGGAAGAAACATCAAGAAATCAAGACAGTGTATTCTTGAATCTTTCTTTCAAGATCTTGGCCAAGATGAACAGAAATTTCCAGATCTTGAGTGAATCGGATCAGAATATGTCAAACCGTATTGTGATGAAAATTTTTTACATTTTCTTCCTTGTAAGACAGCTATAAACGTTAGACATACAATCATATGTGTCATACACTCATCCTTGAACAGCTATGTTCGAGAAAGGAAAATTTTTGGAGTTATATGTGAGCGAAAGTGTGAAATCAAACGGTGATCAAGATCTCGAGTTCTTGCAATTTCTTTAATTTCTTGCGTTTCTTACCAAGATCTTGACTCAAAATCTTAGTTACAAGAAGTTTTACTATGGTAGGATGTGTATTTAGCCGTGCTTGTTTATTCGATCTCGATGAGTGGAATTCCTGATTGTCGGAAGTCACTCGTGGTTATGCGATCTAGCTATTGTACGTCACATTTTCTCCGTTATGATTCTCAATAAAACTATTATGTGATCTGAAAACTGACCTAGTTCGGTGAAGGAGGATATTCTGCATCTTATAAACTGTTAGTTTGTTGCACGATTGTATCCGATGGGATCGTGCCGTAATAATGTATCGGTACTATCTCGTAGTTTACTCGATTTTTAGCAGAAACTGGCTCCACTTAGAATCACAGAATATTATTAATAATTTCATCACATCTCCGTTTTTCTATCAAATTCATGATATTATGTTCGGAATTTTAAAAACATACTAGTGATGTTACAGTTGCTACTTAATTAGCTCGAAATACCTTAATCAAAATGAGGCATATTATAAAGCTTGAAAATGCGCATCTTTTTATGGAAGAATAATTGTAAAACAGTTGAACTGAAGGAGCGCTATATATCGCACACTGGGCAATTTATGCCAAAACAGGCAGCAATTTAGACTAGTTTACATTTTTTAACGCTGAAAACACTTTCCCATAGGTAATTCGTGACGCTGAGTCTAATGGCGCTATCAGAAATCTGCTTGCTAGTTTTGATTTTCCAAGATTTTCCGAAAATGTTAAATTTCGCTTATTTTCCATGAAATGAAGCACTAAATCACACATTTTGAGAATTTTCACCACGCTAAGACTGGCGAAGATGTCGAAGCTGCTTCTCATGCACTTAGGATTTTCCAAAAGTTTTCCGAAAAATGTAGTTTTCTCAGATTTTTGAAATACGGATTAGAAACTTAGTTTTTTTAACTAAAGAGAATACAATCAAAGGAAACGAGAGAAAGTATCATTAATAGGAAGTGAAATTTTATTTCTAGCTTTATTTCTTGTAAAACAAAATATCCAAATCTAAATCGTCTTTATTTGAAAACATTGAAACTGCTGTATCATGGAAAAAATATCCAGGTTCGTGTGATTCTTATAAGAAGTATGTAAAAACATGGCCAAATTCTTGGCTCATAAAGCCAAAAAATTTGCTTTCGGAATTTAATATGCAATATTCTAATTCATTAGATGCAGTTTTTCCCACTGATCTCGAATATGTATAGATTATATCAAAAAAAATCATTTTAAGGTACAAAAAGGCTTATTTTACCCTGAAAACCAACGGATCTTTGAAAATCTCCAGAGAACGCCAGTGTGATTTGGGCGACTATGGGCTGATACCATAGATAGAGGTGGTTATGGAGCTCATCTTCGCAAAAAATGAAGGTTCTTGGAGCTTAGGAAAATTTAGCGATCTCATTGCATTGTGTGAAGCTTTTGGAAAATCACGTTTTTCCAGAAAAAATCAAAATCTTTTTTAAGAATGAGGCTCGAGAAAACTGATCGGGAGCCTAACTTCCGCTGATTCCGAATATGGCCTCAGATTAATGCTGACACCAAATTTAAGTCGATAAAATGCGATTTTTCCAAAAAGGTATAAAATAATAGAAGGATTTTTCCGACTAACTTTTTCCCGAGAGGAAAGGACTTCGGATAAACATTCTTTTGCCGTTAGATAGCCCGTCACTTGAAATATATAGGCCAATCTTCAAATCAAGAAAAATCAGACGGAGTGGGAGGAATCTCAAACGGTGAGGGAGGTACTTTATTTTCTTAAGCAGCGCTTCAAAAACATTTCTCTTTTAATGAACAGATAGAGCGTCTTTCGCTCTATTTTTCTATGCTATTTGATCAATATTCAACTAATATTATAATAATAAAATTTCGATAAGATCAGTTTCTTTCGCAT